TTTTTTTTTACACATAATCAATGGTTGAATTTTATTCATAATAAATGTGCTTCTATAACAATATATGCTATATATAATATACATATAATAATTATATAGTATATATAGTTATATAGCTATATAGTATTATAATTTATAATTATGATAATAAGCGATTATTATTTAAAGATGGTATCTATTACTTGGTAATTAATATATCTGAATGATGAATGAAAAAATCTATTTCTTTATAAATTTTAAAATTTTTTTTTCTGATGTATATACACTGTATATATTATAATCATATATATTATACTCATCTGTTTGGAACAAAATTTAAAAAATAAAATCGAATAAATAATTATAAGTTTTTTTAATTAAATAATAAGTTTTTTTAATTAATTTTTTAATTGAAACAACAGGCGCTTATTTGTGATAAATAATTACAATATTCTAGAAGCGAGATAGTATAGGAAAAAGAAGACTTATTCTTCTTCCTCATTTATCATCATGTATTGTTATGTTATTTCATTTGTAATACTTTCGGTCAAAATGTTTATCTATATTATATATTATATATCATTGTATATATCATTATCATATTAAATTATCATCTAATTAAAAATAATCAGATTTAATTAGAAATAATTATTCCATCCTATTAATTAGAAATAATACATTCCTTTGTCTTGTCATTTTTTGATATCTGTATTATTAATGTTTCGTATTCCTCTTTTATTTCTATTTGCTATAACTTTGTCTTCATAAAATTGAAAAAAATATACTGGTATTGTAATTTTAAAAAATTGTTTTTTTTTTTAATATTTTTTGAATTAGATAGAATCTTAATAAAATGCTACATAAGAATATAAAAAAAATCTAAAATTGAAAAAATTGCTATTGGATTGGAAAATAAAAGATTTTATTCTATAGAAATATATAATATATATTTTGCATAATTGGAATAACCATTTCATCACAGATCAAAAAGCGTTAGTTTCTTCTTCCAAATAATTGGAATTCACTATATTTTTCTATATGCTCATAATTCTAAATTTCTTGTATAGCAAGCAAGTATAAAATCTGATATTTTTCAATCAGTGAAATTAAAAAAAAATAATTAAAATGATAATTATTATCGACATTGCCGACTTATAATTGGGAAAAAAATGCTATTAGAATAAAATTTGTTAATGTTTGCAATAAAATTTTTAGATATTTTTGATGCATTATATTTTTATTTTTAATTGTTGCGAATATATTAAATAATATTCTATTAAATATTCTGACTTTGACAGAATAATACTAATCATTGATTTATAGATAATTGAATTATTTTTTGTGATATTCATGAATATCTTAATGCTTCTCAAAATATTTTATTTTAGACTTGAAAAGTATGAGTACATATAATATAAAAAGTCTTTAAATATATAGCTAAAAATATTAATAGCTAAATTATAGCAATATAAATAATATATAACTAAATTACTGTGTACAATATGTAATTAAAAAAAAATAATAAATGCATAAGATAACAATTTTCATTAATTCTAATACATAAGAAATTAATGAATTATTTTCTATTTGCGATATTGACATAGATATCTATAATTTATTTAATATTTTTTTATAAATAAATTGTGTTTTTTTAAAAAATATAAGAAGCATTTGTACAGAAAAATTATTAATATTTATAAAGTAGCAATTGTATCATATTACTTCCATTCTATTATGATATATGTAAATAACTTCTATTATTAATTATTCTATTATTATATATCTCAAAAACTAAGATTGCTAATATGCAAAGATTAAAATCTTGTTTTTTACAACATATTCAAAAATCATCAAAGAGAAAGTTTTTTCTAAATAATTATTAATTATTATCAAAATAACAATTTTGATTTTTTAATAATATAAATTCAAATATATGTATTAACTATAATAAAATAGAAAACTAAAATATAAATATTATAAGAATTCTAATTATTATATTTTTTTTTTGTTTTTTAAATGCAAATATCTCACTGTGTGCTACCATGATTTCTCTTTGCTTTATTGAGTTTACATTTAACTTAAATTATTTATAACTTAATAAATAAGAAATTTTTATAATTGAATTACATATCAATTTTATTTTGTTGGCTTCAAGTCGATTATTCAATGATGTCTAGATATATACGAGCTATTAATATATTCATGAGATACCTTTGAAGAATCAAATCTAGAATCAAAATAAACACAAAAATTGATATACAATAATATCGATTAAGACTTATTCATTAAATTAAAAATAATTGAAAATAAAGCTGGAACAGAATATGACATATAGCAGAATATTTGCACCGAAAAATCGAACAAAACTATTAAAAAATTCGTTCAATTTTTAAATTCTATTTTTTATTTTTTTAAATTTATTTAAAATTGATAAATGAAATATCAAAGATTGAATTTTTTATTTTTCAATTCTTTAATCAATTCTATCTAAATATTCAAAAAATAAAATTCATTTTTAAAATGTAAAAAATTATGCTATTTGTCAAATGTTGTAGAGATCAAACAATAAAATAAACATTTTCGTAATAATTTTTACAATTTATATAATTATATAATATTTACACCTGCGATTGAAAAAAAATGATTATTTATTTTTAAAATAAAATTTCATTTTTCGATTAAATTTTAAAATTTAATCAAAAAAAAATAATTTTTGCAAATTTTTGCAATTTTGAAATTGTAAATATTCTATATATAGTATGAATATATAATAAAAAATATGTATATGTATTTATAAATATTATATACATATAATAGAAACGAAAAAAACCATATATATATAATATATATATATATATAATAGATCCTTATCCAATTCTAATCATAATAAAATTAATAAAATATTACACATTTAATTTCTTCAAAAACCAATCAATATGATGCAATGCAATTTATAATAGAATAACAATAAATAAATTATATTTATAATATATATTAATTATAATTAATTAGAAAATATAAGATTCATGAAATTATTTCTAGTATATTTAATTTATACATTAAATATAAATTAAACTATTAAAATAAAATAAAAAAAATATAATATATAAATTTGTAATTTAAACAATTTTTTAAAAGTTTCTTAGTATCTTATAGATAGACAAATGCAAAATGCTCTAACTCTCAAATATTATTTCTATTTAATTAGCTATAAAATTTCAAAACTATAAAAAACTATAAAAATTCAAAATTTTTATTGCATTATAAATTTTATCAAACGTAACCAAATAAAATCGGAACTTATCTAGAAATATAATAAAATATATAATAAAAAAAATAAATTATTGATTATTTTCAAATATTAATAATATAACACATATGTATTAATATTAATATTATTTTAATATTAATTATATATTAATAATATACATACGTATTAATATTAATATTATATAGTATTAATATAATACTATATAAATATATACTATTTTTGAAAAGTAATCATAATACAAGAATTTATATAATTTTCTTAAAATATAAAAATCGAATTTTTATAAAGTAGTTAAGAAAGAAATGAATGTCATAAAATCTCTTATTCTCTCGAAAACTACGATTAAATAATGATAATATGCAAAGAAAAAAATTCTTTAAAATCTTTTAATATATTTAAAAATCAAAATCAATGAAGATCCCCTATTTCGAATAATTATCCTTTTTTTATTTACATTTTTATATTTCTTATTTTATATTACTATATAAATGTATAATAAATAAATAAATTATTTAAATATTAAGTCAATCTGCTAATTAATTTTTCCTTTATTATATGATTTTAATAAATTTTAATGAAATATATTGTAAAGCACTTCATTTTTAAATATTTTTTTCCAAAGCGATCAATTTTAATTTTTACAAAAAACTGTGAAAAATGATATAAAAAAAATAAAAATATAAAAAAAATAATCTATAACTATTAAATTTTGTTTTTATGTATGTATATTCATGATAATATATAATATTATATGTATATATGTTATATAGTATTATATATTAATATTATATATATATATAAAATATATATGTTCGATAATATATATATATGTTTTATTGCAATTTAGCAACTGTATGTACATAATAAGTAAATTTATCGAAAATCTACTTCCTTACGGATTTGAACAAGATCTTTTTCAAAATTTCTTTTATAATATATATATATATAATTCCTTAATTATTTAATTATTTATTTATTTATTTAATTATTTAATATTCTTTCAATAATTATTTTATATTCTATTTTTGCAATCCATGAATCATTCAGAAAAATTCGAATGTTTAAACTCGTCATGAATAGATACTAAGTGTAATGGTATTTGTTTTTTATATTGTGTTTATACAAAGAGTTAAGAAGTAATCATCGCATATTGTTACATGTATTTTACGAATGCACATGTGTAGATAGAATTCAATATAAATTAAATATTTTAAGTTTATTAAAATGAGGAAGTTAATCAATGAGAAGGAAGTTAATTAGCAGGTTCAGGCCTAATTGCTTGTATCTTTAATACAAATAATTAAAATATTCAAATTAAAATAAATATAAATAAATAAATAAATTTTTATTTTTTTAAAATTATATTATCATTATTTAAAATTATAATATAATATAATTTTTAAAAATTTTTTAAAATTATATTATCATTTTGCTATTAAACATTAAATTTTTTTTAAAATATAATAATTTATGAACATTTAATTTATAATCTGATGAAAACAAATTAACTTATTACCTCATTTATGAATATCTTTAAATATAATTAATCATTTAATAATTAATCATTTCATTATGATTAATATTCATCATTATTATTATGTTATATATCTTTAAGACATATATTATATTTATATTGACAATATAAAATCAATTTGATGGGACTAAAATTAATTCATTTGTATTTCTATGATAAAAAGAGTTTCTTATTTAGAAATGATTTGGTTAACAAGTTAAAGTAAAACCACATTTATAAAATTTCAATTAATAATTTTAATATCAAATTTTTTAAAATACAATTTTATTCTAAAAGAAGCTTTGTATTACTTCCATTAACATCCTTATTAATACCATGACGCACAGCAAATTCATGTTTTACACTTGCGAAAAGAATATCTGTTACTAAAAAAATTTGTGCTATAGCAAATGCTAATGTAACTCCAAAGTAAAAATTTGCATTAGCTGATCTGGAATAAATCCATTGATACCAAACAGTAGGTGCAAAAATTGTGCAAAATAGCATAAAACAACCTACAATAAATCCTTGTTGCGTATCTGTAAAAAAAAAATCACTTTTACAAATATTGTAATATTTTATATTTAAATAAGCAATATACTTACATTGAAACAAATGTTTCCAAAGTGGTAAAAGTGACATATAAAATCCAACATCTCCTATACAAGGATACGATTTAAATATAGCAATAATTGCTAAGTAAGAAAATGCTAGTAACATTGGATCATGTCGTAACCTCAATGCTAATGGTACTATATATAGTAAACTGACATTTATTTGAAAAGAAGCAATGAAAAGCCATCTAAAATGCTCAAATACTTCTGTAAAAAAGTACCAATATAGTCCAATATTTGGACGTAAATCAGGAACTGTTAAAATAAAACCAAATGTATTCCAAATAAATGACCAATTTCCCATAATATAATAGGAAATATAAAATAGACCAATTAATGTGCTTATAAATACTATAATAAAATTAAAAATATTCCTTTTTTGTTTTATACTATCAGAACGAGCAATATAAATAATTGCTGGTACTATAAGTGAAATAGGATAAAGTCCTTGTAATGTTAATAAAGAAATTGATAAAGAACTCCAAAATATAGAAGATTTTGTCATTGAAATTAATGCTATGGAATATAATAAATTTGTAAATACTGTTGTTGTATGTCCTACACAATTAAGTATTATATATGGATTAAATAGATATCCTGCTGAGACATACATTATTGAAGTATATATTATTGAAGCATTATTATGGCTTTTTGTCTTTTCATTACATAATTTTTCTTTTTCCTTTTTTTTAAAAACCTAGAATTAAAATATAATTCCAACAAAATAAAAATCATATTTTAAATATTTGATAATATTGAAATTTAACTAACCAATTCAGTTGCATATTGTTTTGCTGTAAGTCCAAGAAATAATGCTGTTAATAAATCAGTGAACACAAATAAACAAAATAATATTGACTGTGATAAATGTTGTTGTATGAAATTAAAAACATATAGTCCAATGGGTGTTTCATGAAATAAATCTCCTGTATAAGGATCAATGCCAAAGTTATATAAATAGACTCCTTCAGTTACTAAAAATTAATTAAAAGAATAATAATTGTTATCATAAATATACATATATGATATAATATGAATACACACACACATACACACACACACATATATATAATCTATGTAATTTGTAATAAAAATAATAAAAATTCACAATAAAAATTCTCTCAATCTTAATATTAAATATATTTGACATTTATTCTAACCTCTCTTCCAAGAATTCAATGCAGTAGAAACTTCCACACGATCACTAATGATTTTTTGATATTCAGAATTCATTAATAAAAATCTAATAATACCGGCTAATATAAAATTTGATAACCATTGTATCTTCATTTTATATTTAAATTATAAATCATTTACGTATGATATAACCGGTATTTAAAAAACAGACTATATATGTATTTGAATTAGTTTTTAAATTACTGTTTAATATAACTTATAAATATTTTATTAATAATATTTTTTCTTTTTGCTATAAGATTTCTTTTATTGCTATATGTTAAATATTACATAAAATTAAATTGATTACGATGAAATCATGACATATGAGCGGATTTTTTTTGTTTAATAAATCCATTTTTTTAACACAATTTGATGAAATAGTTATCAATATAATACTTATTTAAAAAAATTTCGAATACGAAATAAATAAAAAATTTAAAATATAATTCTAAAGATTAAAACAAATGAAGACATAAATTTTTGATATGTAGTGGTATATCCAATGAAATTTATTTTTCAAGTTATAAACAATTTATTTTTGCATTAAATAAAATTAGACAATAATCAATCACGATGAGACATGATTTTTTTATCTCTATTTCATTTAATGTTAAAATTAAATTCTTTATGTTTAAAAAAAAACTGATGATTTTTATATACAGATCCATATATTTATTTTAATTTTTAGAATCAGATCTTAAATTTTTTATTTACTTCGTATAAATATATTATATAAAAAATATTAAAAAATATATATACAAAATGAAATTTTTCTTATTCACATTTGAAAAATATTTAAATGTACATACATTAAGAAAATTTTTATATATGTTAATAATAATATTAAATAATATTGTAATAATATTAAGTAATAGAATATATTAAATATAAAAATAAATAACTTATAAATAAATAACAAAAGATAAATAAATAAAAATTAAATAAATTGAAAATATAAAAAAAAATAATTTGTATTAAAAAATTAAATATATAACAAAAATCAAATAGTATATTAATATACTAAAAACTTTTATTTCTTTAAAAAAAATTTGTTATGTTTTTCTTATTTATTTATTTCTATTTTTAAAAAATTATAGTTAATCTAAATAATTAAAGTATATATTAAAAATTTATATATATTTCATTTATTTATTTTTTTTAAATAATATTTTATAATTCTTTTAAGTTACGAGAAAATAGATTTATATTTCATTTAAACATTTAAATATTAAATTATATTTTTTACGTAAATATAAAATAAAAAATGTGGAACGCTTCACGATTTTGCGTGTCATCCTTGCGCAGGGGCCATGCTAATCTTCTCTGTATCGTTCCAATTTTAGTATATGTACTGCCGAAGCAAGTACGCTGTTAAATTTTTATTTCTCATATATAAAGGAATTAATAAATTTTCGACCACTAGTGAGAAAGGAATATTAATCCAGCCATCTAGTGGCGTATTAATGTAATATAATTTGAAGCTATTGTAAAAAAAATAATGGTATTTATCATTAAATTTCTTTTGAAAAAATTTTGAATTGAATATTTTAATTTTGCCATTTATGTTAGAAAATAATACTATAAAAAATAAGATATAATTTGTTTAAATTGAATATAATCTAATAACATCGTATTTCTTGGTTATTTTTAATATATATTTTTAATATAAAAATAATAAACATGAATAATTATAACATTTTATTCTTATTGTAAATAAAATGCAAATTATTCTTAATGCAAATTGTGATTCATAAGTATAAAATGAAAAATAAATTTTAATCAATTTATTTTTTAGCGATTAACAGGATGGAGATATGCAGCATTTATAGGTACATTTGTAGGAACTATAGGAATATTTTGTTATTTTACAATGATAAGTCCTATGATTAATCCAGAGCCATATAGTATGTATAAAATTTTGCTTATTAATTATAAAAATATATTTTTATTTTTTATATGTAAAATAAAAATTCCAGAAAGAATTCGAGAACAAGTGGCACAATCCCATAGTAAAACTTACAAAAATAGCAAAGAAATATAAATAAGAATATATATATTTGCAGAACTACAATTTTTACTATAATTTTAAAAAAAAACAAGTTAAAGATATAAAATTAATTTTTATTATATATTAAACATATGTTACTAAAATGTTAATGTATATAAAATAGACTGAAGAACATTCAGTATGTTATATTGAGAAATCAATAAATGTAGTGACTTGTACTCTTCTTATAATTATTTTCCTAATTATTTACAATACAGATATTGCTGCAAGAAGTTTCTTATTTAAAATGACTGGAAACTTTCTTACAGATATTCTAAAATATGTTCTAAATGTAATATACAGTTCATGTTAAAAGTCATCATGATCACAAACATCTAGGAAGACATCAAATGCTTCACGGTTACAATTTCCATCGGCAGTAAAAACATATTTATGAAATGTTCCATCCATACAAATTGCTAAAAATAAATAAAATAAAAAATTAGAATCAAATACATTATTATAAGTAATTTTAATATAATAATAGATATATTTTTTTATACCTATGACAGAACTTCTTGTACCAAATGCACATACGCAAGCACATTCTGGTGGTACTGTGAATGTAGCCAATGCCCATTGACTTTCAACGTAATTTCCCAAAAATCCCATTTTTGAAAAACTATGAATAAATCAATCATTAATTTTAATCATTAGAATTTATAAAAATTTATACTATATTTACATACGTCGATCTGCGATTTAATTGTGTGTCTTTTAATGCAAATATGTGTACTGTTCCTTTATCACTAGAAGCACATAAGAATTCCGAATCTCTACTAAATGTAATGCTGAAATATTATAATTTAAAATTATAATTCAAGACTGTAATATAAAAATAAAATATTTTTATATAAAATTCATTTGTTTATAATTTATTTATAATATTTATATATATTTATATTATTTATTTATATATATTTATTAAATATTATTATTTAAGTATTAAAATTTTATTTAAATTATTTATATTATATTTTTTTTATTACATATATATATATAACATATATGTTATATATATATATAACATATATAGTAATATTTAATTTATAATATTTAATATTATATATAATATATATATATATATTATATATAATATTTACCAATAAAGTGTTGCAGGATCAGCACCTCTTCTCAATTCCACTAACAAGTGTCTACGTATACTATCCCATACTCTAACTAATGTACCTTGAGTGGAAGCAGTTGCTATCATTGTTCCACTACTATTAACTGCAAGACAAGCTAATGCACCCTAATAACATATATAAAAAAAAATGTTTATACATAGAAAGAAATATTAAATCATAGTAATCCATATTTAATTATTTAATTCTTTAAATTAATTATTTAAATCTTTATGTAAACTTTATAAAAATTATCTTTATGAAATTATTTAAGTTTTTATTTATCTTATATAACATATCTTATAAAACATACTTGATGTGCTGCAAGAGTTGCAGGAGCACTAGAACTTCCTGCTTCTGTAGCACCAAGATCAATTAATTGTACACTACCCTGTTTATGGCCAGGGAAAGCAAGAAGTTGTTTTTGTGCAGTAGCTAATGTAGCAACTTCAATTAATCCCATTGGATTATCTCTGGTTTCTAAAGTCAATAATCTTCGTGTAGGCATAGGAAATGAGAAAACATGTATTTCTCGTTGAAGTGCTACTATCATTCTGTTTTGTAAAATTATTCTTACATAAATGAAATATTTATATTGACTATTATATTAACTAAAATAGAAATTGATATCATTAATGAACTTACTTATCTCTACGTAATCGTATAGCTTTAATAGGACTGGTAAATGTAACTTCCATTATAAATTTTTTAGATAAATCATCATAAATAAGTACTGTATTTTCTGCAAACTTTGGTCTTGTACCACCACCTACTATAGCAATGATGTTTGTTCTCCAAAGCATTTCTGCAATAGCTATACTTCCCATTATATCATTTTCCAAATGAGCTTTTTCCACTAATGGTTCTACATTGTATACTCTAAGACCAGATTCCATACAACATGTGAAACATCCTAAAAGAATATAAATTAAAAATAAAATATAAATTAAAAAATTATTATCAAATAATAAAAATAATTTAAGAAATAATAAAAATTATAATTAAAACTATTGTTATTTAAAATTTTAATAATCAAACTGAAAATCAATAATCAAATATTAATATATAATAATAAATAATATATAATATAAATAATAATATAACTATGCTATTAATAAAATAAATTTTTCTTTCACATTATTTTATTTTGTTTTTGTATTTTATATATATTTATATTTCTGATAAAATATAAATATTTTAATTTTAAAATTTTTAGTTTCCAAACAAAAAAAATATTAAATTTTATTAAGCAATTTATTTTAATTAAAAATAAATTCATTCTAGTTGTTAAAGATTTCAGAAAATAACATTAAGAATAATAATTACCTTGATCTTGATTAAATCGTAAACTAAGAATATTTTTTTCGCCAGCCATTTGATGTTACATTAAATTAAACAAATAAATATTTTTTCGATATAAATTTTTTTTAATGATGAATTTTATGTTTTTGTTTACATTTTTCTTTCACAATCAGCTGTGACACAATGTTTGGTACAATATTTATCATTCAGATATATATATATATATATATATATATACGTAACATAGAAATTAGGTTGATTTTCACTTTTCGAATGAATTAAATTTATTTATGAATAGAATAATACAAACAAGTATCTATATGTTGTATATAAATAATAAAAAATACAATGATTTCTATTTTTTTTTATTTAATGAATAAAAATATATAAAATATAATATTTAAATAAATTTGATAAAAAATATTTTATATTCTAGTGATTGCTACATAGATATTCGCCAGTAAGTTGCTGTGATCATAGGATATCATATATTTAATGTATATTTAATGTATTCTATAATGATATAAATAAATGGTATAAAATAATCATTGAAATAATTATTGAAACAATCAATAATAAAATAATTAGAAAAAAAAAGAATTGTTAAATTAAAAAAAGCATTTTTAACTTTATTATAATTAAAAATTATATTGATGAAATTAGAAGTATAATGATGAAAATATATAGTTTAAAAGTATAATTTGACTAATCTATTTATATTGCTTTATTATTTTGCTTATCATTATTTGTTTGTTTGATTTGTGATGTGATATTTTTGATTAATATTGTTTTTATTAATTTTTAATTTTTAATTAATTATTAATTTAATTAATACTTGTTTTGTAAACAATTAATTCATTGTTCCTTTTAAATTTTCTTTTTATCTTAATATATATATATATATATATATATATATATATATATGTGAAAAAATTATTACGATTTATTATATTTGTAATATTTGTTTTTGTGTCATATTTTTTGTTATATTGAAATTCACTTATTTTCATAATTTCATAATTCCACTTTTATAAGAATAACATAAAATTCCTAAATATATTTTATATTTTATATTTTGTATCAAATTTTTACGGAACAATTATAATCATTCTTATACATATTATTTTAATATCTATATATTTGAGATAAATTATTATGTCTTATTATATATAGTTAATATATTGTATTATATATTAATATATTATAATATATTAGTTATAATAGTTATTATAGTTTATTATATGATTTTCATTGTATGACATTGTTATTTTAGATTGATACGATATATATATAGAAATATATGAATCAAATTGAAGCAAAAATAATAAAGAAAATGTAACATTATTTGTAAGAAAAGGTAATTCAAAATGCTGGATACTTTATTAGAGATATATTTCAAGTAGCTATGTGAAACAAGTTACATATTTGTTTGTGAATAATTTTTTAATAAATTATATATTAATAATAAGTTATTTAATAAGTACAAACATGTATATAGAATTGTACAACAATGACGCATTAAATACAATTATATCCAAAATATATTTTGCTGAATTAAAAAAGTTAACAGTTAATTTATATTTTTATTCATCATGAGCTAATAAATGTTAAAGATATATATAATCTATTTAATTTCTCCAAATTCTCTTTTTTCTAATCTTATATATAACATATTATTTATCAAAATTATTTTATTTTGCACTCAATAATTGTAAATAATTGTAAATAATTGTAAATAAATCATTTTTTTTCTGAAATTATAATTTTCAATATATGTAAATACTATTTAAAATTGTATTATATAAAAATTATTATTATATAAAAGAATAAAATAAAAATTAATTTTTTTTATAAAGTATAAGTAAATTTTTTATATATGTTTTATATATATGGTATTATATATACATATAATACCAAAAAAAGCTGACAATTATACATCTTTTTTATGTTTTGATAATTTAATGACATCAAATACTATAATTGATCAATATATAAAAAAAAATATATCAATATATAAAAAATATATAAAAAATATTTAAAAAAATTTGTTTTTTCAAAAAACAANAAATATTTGATTTTTTGTTTAAATTGCTATTTAATTCAAAAAAACTAAACTAAAAAAACATAGTCATTAAATTATAATTGTTATAATAAATATTTTAATCTTATAATAAGTTCTTCAAAATATTTTCTGTTTTTTATATTATTAAATTTATTTAATAATTGAATCAAATATTAATATACGATTATAAATATTTTTTTATGATTTTTTGAATATTTATTTATTTATTTAAAAAAACTATTAGAATACAAAAATTTGCGAATATTTATTTAAAAAATTACAAGAATATGATGTCCAAAAAATAATTTTAATAATATTCTATTTAATAATCAATTTTTACTATCATAAGTTTGTGAAATACTGTAAATTTTATTTTTTTAACAATACGGATTGCGTAATAAAAATCATTATTCAAATTCGTTCTGAATTGTTTAATTAAATTGTTTTCCGAATATAAATATAAATATATAAATATATATATATATATATATATATATTTATATATATATTAAACTTTAATAAATTTTAATTTTATCGCGTGGTTATCATTCATAAACAGAAGTTGCTGAAATCAATATCAATTATTCTATTATTATTATTTTTACTGACATTTAATAATTGTCAATTGTCATCTGTGATAGTCATCTAACAGGATGTAATTGTATTCAAATTTGTTTACAAGTTCTCCTATTTAAACAAATTATAAATATATAAAATCATTAAAACAAAATCATTACAATTGTAATAATATATAAAATTATTTATAAAATATCACAATTTTATATTCACATTAATTTTGATTCCAAGGATTTCTAATATCAAAATTGTAATTTTTATAAATCGTTTATTAAAAGATATAAAAATATATTGTAATATCAGTTTGTTTTAATTTAATCGTAAAGATTTCTATTAGATATAACGATTCTATAATAAGTAATAGAAAAACAATACGGTACATTATTCCAAAGAAAGATTCATCATAAGCATTATTTCTCAAAATCGATGATATTTAAAAATCTAAAAATCCGCGCAATCATTTTGATGAAACACTTTTTTTTTCTCAATTTTTCAAAGCATTTTAAATTATGCAAGATATTTTATATCTAAGATTTTATATTTTATATTTCATATTTAATATTTTATACTTAATATTAATTACAATTATATCAATTTCAATTATAATAAATTAATTAATAATATAGTTTTAATATATTTAAATCTTATTATGCAATATTAATCGAATATGATCATAAAAATTTTAGTATAATATTTAAAAATTTTAATCCGAATAGAATCTGACATTATATTATGAATAGGTCATCAAGGGAAAGAATCTATTAGAAAAAGCTAACTGAAAGGAAAGTAACACGATTGCTACGCCATCTATCAGAATGCTTTAATATTATTATAAATATAAATAAATATTATTATAAATTCATTCTTATTTATGATCTATTCTCTTTCTTCAATGATTTTTTGACAATTTTATTTTCATTTTGAAAAATTTAAATTTCATAAATAATAACTCAGTTAAAATAAATATTTAATCTTTTTATATCAATATAATTTTCAAATTATTATTTTTTAAAAAATATAACTACTTATTTTATTATAGATACATTAAAATAAATATGTTTATTTTCTCTTTTAATAATTATTATTTTAAAATTTTTTAGAATATATTGTTATAATATTACAAATTTATTAATAACAAATGTTTTATACGAAGATTAAAAATTTTGATAACATAGATTTGATAAAATAGATATATTCCTGATCCAACTTTAGTCATTGAAATTATTAATGTAAAGGAGAAAATAGTAATATATCTATTAATATTTAAATCGGCATTGTATTTTATTTCTTTGATTATCGCTAAAGGATTAACAATATTTAAAGTTTTGATGAGTTTTATTTTAAATTTTATAATTTTATTTAAAAATAATGCATAAAAAGAACTGATTTTTTTAAAATTTTTAAAATTTTATTTATTAAATTATTTTTTAAATTATTACTATTAAATTATTATTTATCAACAACTAAATATTAGTTTCAATTAAAAAAAATTTTTTGAAATAATAACTATATTTGTTTTGTGTTTTCTTTGTGAATATTTTGTGAATATTTCTTTCTTTAAAGAAATTGTATATATTACTAGGCTGAAAAAATATTATTGCTTGCGATTAATTTGTTATTTTTTACAGATTAAGTATTCAGAGTTTCTTTGTTCTCGAAGAGGAAAGATAAAGCATAAAGGCCGAAAGACAGATAGCGACAAATCATAAAGAGAACAATTGAGCAATAATGTTAAAAAAATTTTTAACATTAAAAAAGAATAGAATGACATATTTTTTCACTTCATTAAAATGAAAAAAAATAAATTCAATACAATGAATATATAAATTCTCGAGTTGAAAATTCAAATGTAATTTTATAAAAATTTATAAAAATCGTAAAATTTAAAAACCTATAATTTTTAAATAAATATAAAACCAACAAAATGATGATTTTCCCTAATTTAACATGAATTATATTATATTTCAAATTGAACAAAATTCAAGATATCGGAGCCAAAAAATTATCAATTTGATATGTAATAATCCTTACATATATTTTATATGATTTGATAAAATATATATGTGTTAATAAAATACTTCAAAGAAAATAAACAAAAATTATTTTATGATAATAAATATTACATATATTTAAGTTCATATAGATTTCCTTTTTCTTGGTTTTATTTCTTCATTATTCATATTACATTTTTAAAACACCAAAACAGAAAAATGTTTATACGAAATTACAAAAAATTATTGCATTGCTGCATAATGTACTCTTATATTTATCATACATACATATATTTTCATATAATAGTAATTCTCAATTAGTTTTTCGCTCTCTATTATTTTCAATTAAAATATGATATCAGATTCTATAAATCTTATTTGATAATCCGATTTCAAACAGCGTATCGTAAAAACTTCCTTTTGAAAAAATGACATCACATTACTTCTACTTCCATTCTCTCTCTAATATCATTGCATCGTGCAATTACAAACAATATTTTTTTTATAAAATTATTTGTCTACAATCTATAAT